CCCCAAAACCCCAAAACCCCAAAACCCCAGCAAATGAATTTGATATATTCCAGTATTCATTACAAATTATATGACTAAATTATACTAATTTATTCAACGATTTAGAGTCTCAAACATTATTCTCAATTCTTTCATCTACTCACAAAGATAATTCCTTTCTCTCTTTACAATTTCTAGCTCTTTTTACGCTTTAGTTTTATCATTTTATTGAGTTTTGAGTTTTTCTAACAACTCAAAAATCTCTTAACCCATCTACTTAACTCTTCTCTCTAGATTCTATTTTTCTAGTCTAATACTTATCAACTCCATCTGTACACTGCATTACCCCTACTAAAGCATCTTTAGCTTATCTTGATTTTGTCTGTACAAGTAATCCCCATACTACATTTTTAACTGCATTTACTAATTTTCTGCTTTCAATTTATTGATAGCTTTTATATGGATATCTTGAAATTCCGAATAATGCGAGTATACTGGTATCAAACTTTGACAAAGATCATAAAGATAATGAGAGTAGAAGAAAAGTTAGGAGTAGCTCATTTACATATCTTTAAATAGCTAAGCTAGTTTACCCCTATCATTCATTAGACATTAAATTACATCCACCATAAATTCATAGACTTTTTCAGCTGACTTAAAACTTAAGTTCCCATCATCCTATGAATCATGGTCAGATGATACAGAATCAACTTGGGTGTTCATTTATTCTCCATTCTAAATAGTCTTTCTGCTGTCAGCAGCAGTTTTAGTTCCTGAAAGTGAATCTTTAATTTTATTGAAAAATCCACTTAGTGTCATTGATCTCTAGAATGGTTGACCATCAGGCGACATATTACTTTAATCATCTTCATCATCATCTTGATCAAAGTAATCGTCGGGCAAATATGATCCGTAATGATTTATAAAATCATTTGCTTTTATCATTGCACTTTAACTGTTTGATATCATTTGACTGTTGATTTTAACCCTGAATGGCTGCAATTAAGTTATTTACCTAAGTGATTCTCTGCATTATTTACAAGTATTATCTTCTAAAATAGATTACTCCAAGCTCTGTAACTGTGTTTAATTAAGCATATCCTCTTCTAACTCTTGATCATTATTTGAACCAGATTTTTTAAATCTGAATCTAAGAATAAATGGCCTTTGGCATATTTCTAAAATTGAAATAGATGTAGATGAAAGTCTTAAGTATTGTTAAGGATTCATAAATTAAAAAATGTATTGCTAGATTTATGCATCTAACAACACAGTTTTGAGGGTTATTTATTTTGATTTATTTACTTTAATTATAGGTTTAGACTATGATGTCATACTTAACTTATTTTTCAATTTCTGTATTTTTTGTTTATACATGAAATTTGAATCCTTTAAGTTTTAAAGGCGTCATCCTTACTCTTTATATCTTCTTATCAATACTATAGATTCATGCTACAGCATATTTTGTATCTCAGATTTTTGCATTTTAGCATTGTTGATTTTATTTTTTTGAGCTTCTATTATTTCATTCAGTTTATCTATTTTATCTTACTAATCTTATTAAACTTTCTTGAAGTTGTCAATATCCCTCCTTAGACAGATGACCTCATTTTTTAAATTAGAGTTTTATAGCTTAAGCTATTCATTTTCTTAGCAAATAAACTTCATCATATTCTGGGAATTCTCGTATTCTCGCACAACCATTTTCGCTATATCACCCTCAACCATTGATAAAATTCCTGAGTTTCCCCCAATAAGTTAGTCTTTTATGACATTCTCTTAGAGAACTTGCTTTGAATCTTAGAGAACATCAATTGTCTCAAGTATTATGCCCAACTCTGCTTGTTCAGCGCTATCTTAATCCCTGAGATAATCTTCAAACATACTCATTGACATACTCATTGACTTTCTATGCCCTTCAAATTTATTCATTGAATGATCAAATTGCTCTTAGAAGTATTTATCAAACATCTTCACTAATGATTTTTGTCCCAATTATTGCAGCTTTACTTGACCACTTACAAGTTCAGGTCTTAAAAATTTTACCTGCGGATTCATGTTATCCCTTCTTTCTTCTGGTATAGTGTGAAGTGGATTCGCTTTTAGCAATTACTGAAACTTCTAAGGCTATGCAATAGTCTAACTCGTCTACTTTGATTTTCTGAATGGGAATTTCAGTTTGTCCATAATGTTATTGCTCATTCTTGTTTTAATCAAATTTTTGAGTATTATTAGATTATTTCTATATTTTTAAATAGCAATAATTCTAAGGAGTGGGGTTTTGGGGTTTTGGGGTTTTGGGGAGAT